GCATCGTAAATCTTGGCACGTTCTAGTGGTCATATAAGAGAAAAAACTAAGTCAGGATAAATTATGAATAGTACGCAGTCCCGGAAGCAAATAGAGGAACCTAAAAGGCGAAGCCAGATGGTCGACAACAGCATGTGGGAACTCGTGCTTTTCAGCACCGGGAAGATAGAAATGGCGATAATTATGGACGGGATTGCCCCGAATACAAACAACCGGCAACAAACGGGGAAGTCAACACAGAGGACCCATTCCACACGATGTGGCACTTAACCACGGCAAGGCCTTTGCAAACTCCGGTTGACGAAAAAATGTTCCGATGAGAAACATAGGTGAATGGGAGAACAGGAGAGAACGATGAAAAATAGTAGCCATCAGACTAAAGGGAATCTAAGGCTTAAGTTAAGTAGAACCCGCGTGGGAAACACTAGAACCGTGGCAAGAGGCGAGGCTAAGAGGACGACAATCTGGGTGAGCATAAGCGGCCAGGACTAAATAGTTTGAAACGGGGAAAACGATCCAAGCCAAACCTGAGCAAAGGCCACGCCAATTTTATCAAAAAGACAAGAGTAAACATCAAATGTTGTTAGGTCGAGACAAAAAGCTAGCCGAATGCGACCGTTTTCATTTAATGAATACAAAGTTGGAGCAGGATAAATGCCATTAGATATTCCCACAGTCGATAATCGTGACCTCCTTGGACGTTTTGCCAGAAGATGAGCCAAGGTTTTCCATGGCCTTGACTACATCAGACCCTTCGACAACCTCGCCAAAGACAACATGCTTTCCGTCGAGCCATGGCGTAGCGACGAGTGTAATGAAGAATTGCGAGCCATTAGTGTTTGGCCCAGCATTTGCCATAGAGAGGAGGAACGGCTTGGTGTGTTTGAGCTGAAAATTCTCGTCAGCAAACTTGTTTCCATAAATGCTTTTACCGCCGGTACCGTTCCTATTCGTGAAATCGCCACCTTGGCACATAAAGCTCGGTATGATTCGATGGAAGATAGAGCCTTTGTAACCGAAGCCTTGCTCGCCAGTGCAGAGGGCTCGAAAATTTTGCGCAGTTTTTGGGACGATGTCGGAGAACAACTAGAGAATATGGAACCAATAAAGTTACCTCCATGACAATTCTGCCGGCAGGAGAACCATCGCAAGCGACGTCGAAAAAAACGCGAGGCCGAGCCATTGCTGATGGAGAATGAAAGGAATTCGCGAAGATAATGATCTAGAGGATAAACCTGCTTAAACAAGATTAATTTGAAGGTCACTATTAATTCTATATTAAAAAGTAAATTTCAAAATTTATATAAAAAAAATCATAGATTAGGTATTATTCAACTGTACTATTATGATGACTGATTCATTTAAAGATTAATCTAAATGCCTTAAATATTCTTTGATATAAGTTATAATATTTATTTTTTTTCATATTAATCATTCAAGAAAAATATTAAAAAGATAGCTCTAATTTTTTGCGGTATTGCTTATAAAATGAAACTTAAATGGATAAAAATAAGACAAAGAGTTTGAAACCTAGAGGTCGGAATTTTTATTCGCTTTATTAGGATGCATACATATGATATTATCAAACAGGTGTTATAGTGTGCCATTCTAATTATCGAGTAAATATATGGCGTAAATACATACATATAGGTGTACATTACAAATTCGAATTTTAAATAACTGAATTAATTGATGGAAGGTCCAGTAACAACTACAATAAACCAGATAAAAATACGATGTATAATTATCGTGAAAATTAATCTTTAAATAATATAGATATACTAACATACATAGATCAAGATTGTATAGCAGTTTATGTGGTCGCAGTCCCCATTCGGTCTGACTTTGAAAATTATCATACTAACAATAGACTCCGGACTATGGGTAACCCCCTAAGCCTTACTACAAATATGATCAAGTTGTGAAAACAGTGCCACAAAATTTCCAAAATGATAGTAAATTTTAGCACTCATGCCGTATACATACCGTGAATTATGATAATTAAATTTAAGAAGACTTTGTTCCAGAAGATATGAATAAAAAATCTGCGACATAATTTGTCATGACTTTCTATTTCGAAGTAAAACTTGTTTTGTAGGAATATCTAATGTGGTCTCACAGATTATCAAGTGAAGATTGCCTCGTAGGGAAGACTGTTGAATTGTGCTAATAAGTCCTAGGATCACTATCTTGCTATCCTGATGAAACTTTGCTAAGCTTTTGTCTTTACTGTAACATGGCTCATCTTTGCAGGCATTTATATTTAAGGAACTAGAGCAAAAATATACTAAACCAAGAGAAAAGGTGGCTGGCTGCAGCCCTATTCGCTTACACTATATACACAAAACTTCGCGATTTTTATGAGGCATTCAATTATTTGATTGGATATTCCAAATTTACTCTACATACTTGCAAATTAGTGAAGTTACTTCCCGAACCGGATGTGCGCT